CTTCCTTCCTTCCTTCCTTCCTTCCTTCCTTCCTTCCTTCCTTCCTTCCTTCCTTCCTTCCTTCCTTCCCTTTCTATCATATAAGTTTATATAAGAATTGGAAGCAGACACTTTTATCACTTGGAAGTTTAATCAAGGCATATAATACATAGGAAGTGAGATAACTATAAAGTTCTACGAGATTATCTGAACACCAGGGTTGAATATGGAAAAGGGAAAGTAACTAAGACATGGTATAGCTTTAACAGTGGCAGCCAATTTTCCCGTCCCAGAGACTGCCAAGATTTGCTGCCCCAGGTTCATGTGTGATAAAATCCGGGGGTATGTTCTTGAAGCGGAAGAAAGGAAATTCAGGAAACGTTTTATTTAGTTCTCATCGCATTCTCCCGATATGTCTTGGAGTTGAAACAATCTGGTGTGTGTGTATGTGCTAATTTTATATAACATAATATATGGTGCTAGATTTGTAATTAGAAGGTCCTTGTTTATTTTTGCAATAGGTGAAAAACCCTTTAAGTGTGAATTCGAGGGCTGTGACAGGCGCTTCGCCAACAGTAGTGATCGCAAAAAGCATATGCATGTCCACACGTCAGATAAACCTTACCTCTGCAAAATGTGCGATAAGTCCTACACGCATCCCAGCTCCCTACGAAAACACATGAAGGTAAAATGATCGCTTCAGCTTTTTCCTTCTTTCTGAGCTAATCCTTTCTTGGGACCTTCTCGCCTCCGCTTGCTGCCCTTCACCTCCCCTGTCCCGCCACCAACTTGGATAGCAACCCACCACTATTTTTTTGTGGAGGGGGGGGAGAGGAAAAGAGTGGAGAACCCCGGGTTTATTTCTTAGTCAAGAAGTGATGATCTACAAGGAGTTTGGCCCCAGCGATCTGGCCACTCTAGACAGGCAGTTAAAGGGAGAACTGTTTATACAGCTCCCAGGCTCAAAAAGCCAAGAACCCCAGCCAGTTGTTTACGCTATGAAATGGTCTCACAATGGGTCCCACTTTGGACTCCTATGGGGCTAGGCATTGCTTCAGGAAAAGAATTTAAAACAAGATGGTGATTCTGTGAAGGGACCCAGGCAGGCATAGAAAATTCCTGTTTTTTTGTTTAAGCTTGCGCTAACAGCTCATTCTTCTTTTGTGTAACCCAGGCCCATATTTCTCTTACATGGCAGTCCCCTGAAATTAGCAGAGGACAGGCTAGCTAGCAGATACTTCACTACTCCCTGTTTCTCTGTGATCAACCAGCAAAGCAGGATTTCAAACTTCATGCATTTTCTCTCTTCCCCCTCCCTCTTCTCTGGCACATAGAGTTCAATCGGTGAATTGAGCTCAGAGGCTTAGCATTTGGGGCAACTAGCCTGGACAGCGCACATGTACGCTGGTGTGTCACTTAGGCATCCACAACTATTTAGCCCTGCTTTGTACATTGTGTGTACATTGTGTACGTGCAAGTGTGCGTGTGTATTCACACCCACCCACACGTCAAGATCTTCTCTTTGTTATCTTTTTCTCTGTTTTCTAGGTCCACGAATCCTCCTCCCAGGGCTCCCAGCCTTCCCCCGCTGCCAGCTCGGGCTATGAATCTTCAACTCCCCCAACCATCGTTTCTCCATCCACAGAAAACCAGACCACGAGTTCCTTATCCCCTTCGTCTTCAGCGGTCCATCACACGTCCAGCCACAGTACGCTCACGTCAAATTTTAATGAATGGTACGTTTAAACAAACAAACGAACACAGGCAAAAGCAACCTATTTAAAAGACTCCAAAAATAATGAACACTTTGAAATTGATTTTTTTTTTTTGGTGTGTGTTTTGTTTGGGTTTTTTTATAAATAAATAAATAAATAAATCTATCTATCTATCGATCTATCTAAATGCTGCCATAGACCCAGGAGTGAACCAAATCAAGAATTCTTTCTTCCTCTCTTTCTCTCCCCCTTGTTTCCCTCTCTTTCTGGTCCTTCTTCTGCTGTTTTGCTTTGGTTCCGGGGCCATAGGCCAGGAAAGCAAAGCCCAAAGGGTCCTGTTGTGTATGAGAGAATGGCCGGGTTGTGGTGCCATCTTGTCCATGTGCAGGGCTTTTAAATGGAACCGCTGACTGAAGCTCTCACAACTGCATGTTTCTCTGGGCAGCCGCCTCACTGTTTTCTGTAAATACAGAAATACTAGCTTACAATGTACTGTCTGATTTTGTAAATAGTTCTGCCACAAGTTGAAATAAGGGGATATGTGAAACGGTGGACTTTGCATATACTGGG